TGCTCTTCCAAGTGTTCTAGGCAGAGGCAGGAGGAGGAAAGGTATATACCCAGGGACATGGCGGGTAAGATGGGACTGGGGACCCTACACCAGTGCAGGGCGAGCTTCTGAAGTGCTCACACCCTGGTCTTCCCAGGGAACAGATGGAGATCACTGCCTACTGCCTAGTGATAAGGACAGGGAGCCAAAAGATAAGCAGATTTCCTACCAATTAATGCCTCTGCCTCAGTTGTTGCACTGGAAAAGCAGGATCATATGTACTGTTTTGGAGGTGACTCACAGGAGTAACAGTTGTATGCCACTTTTATTTTCCTTTGAGAGGATAATTAATACATTTATAATCTTATTTTAAACTAAATTTAATGTATTTAATTGTAGAATAGAAAGAAATAGGAAAATGATCACATAGGTAGTTAAAGCACAGAAGATGAAGTAAAAAAATGAGAAATGCCCCTTAAAATATTTAAAATCTTTGAGATTTCTAATTTATCTCCAAATTTCATTTTAAAGAATGAAATGATGTTTGATGAGACATCCTCCCCTAGCCCCTAAGATTTTGTCCCTGAAGTTATTAACATATCTTGAAAAATGTTTCCAAGATGAGTCATCATCTCTGCTCTATAGCCACACAAGGGTCTACGCTGTGTATACTCCCCCTCGCTTCTTCCTCCCCCTGCCTTTCCTCTGCCCTATCAGAGTTAATAAAGAAATGGAGGCACTTGACATCTTCAGGATTGAGCAGGAATCTTGTTAGGACCTAGAAGAGCACCTGTACTCTGATTACTAGGACTCGTAACCAGATGTGTGGCCCTTCTGAATGAGGAGTGAGGATGAGGATAGAGGAGGGACAGGTGCTGACAGTTTACACTCTAAGTGTTAAAAGACTAGGATTTCCCCTCACCATGGTGATTTCCTTTAGTATGTGAATTCAGAACTGAAAAGAGGCATGGACTATGTGGTGGAATCGCAATGTCCTAAGGGGGCTGCCGGAAGCATGCTAGAGGGAATGGAGAATCAGCTGGTCCAGTGGGGTCTAGAATGTAGATTATACGCCATTTATTTTTTGTTGAGTGGTAAGAAAGAGGAGATGGGGAAAGCTGGGGACCTCGAGCCTGAAAAGGGTAAGTGTGACATGTGATACGTACATGCGACAGTATGCTGGCCAACTGAGGGCTTTCCTGGAGAGCAGTTTTGTCCAGAAGTAGAAGACGGCACCCTGAGCCCAGGTCAAAGAACATTTCCATCCAACCAAGGCTGGAGGTGCTGAACCAGTGCTCTCAGGTGAAGTCTGTCTGCACATGATAATAAATTAGCAAGAATTGTGATTTCAGTCAGGCGCGAAGAGGAACACATAGCTGAAAAAGAAAGCAGCCCAGGTTTGTCATGCCTCACCCATGCCAGAATCAGCACCTTGAAGTTTATCTGTGCATAGTTGGTTTGTATCCCAAGATTTCTCCCACATTCTAATGAAGATTAGCATGTCCTTGAATGAACTCAGTGTGTGCTGTAGACACAGCATTTAGGCATGCCCGAGATTATGAGTGGAAACAAGCCAGTGAAGCCTGAAAACCTGCCTTTGTGGCTCGTAGGCACATGCAGTAGAAAGCTAGTTCAGAACATGAATGTTGCTTCATGTCAAGTGCAGCCCAGTGGCTGTGTCTGCTCCAGAATGGTCACGGATATGGGCTTGAACCTCCTCTTGGCTTTCTCTACTTGGGTGAAGTTTTCGTTCCTTCCCAGGGAAGAGGAATTGTAATGCTCATCATAGGAGCTCACAGGAGATCGTCCCAGTGGGCTGGCCGCCACCTGAGCACCCCTTTTACCCCCTCCTTGTGACAGACCGCTGTGGCCTAGAAGCAATAACCGCCCAGGACCAGCAGGGGCCTCCAGTATCCCTACTGTCAGTCTTTGAGCAGATTTTTGATGACTACAGACCTGAAAAGTGTCAGGATATTTACCCCGTTTCTATTAGGACCAAGTTTTAGTAGGAAACTTTGCATGAAGCTGACTTTAAATTATTGAAAAGCAAATATTCTTTCTAAGTAAAGCTAGTATATCTCAGTAATCCTATATAATCGAAATTAGAATTTATAAGAAGCAAGAATATGCCACAGATTATAATCTCTCAAAATCATTTGGAGACGCCTATGAAATGCAGGTGTTTATGATTTGCCCTCTGTAAAACTTCACTGATAGTAACAGCTTGGACGTATTTAATTTCTGATAAACACTCGCATCATTCCTGCAAGTTTGTTTGAATCATTTCATCTGAATCTTTCAATTTCTAAAGCATTATCCTTTTTTTCTTTTTAATCCCGTCCATTTCTGTTGATAGGAAAACATGGGTAACAGTTTATTTATGAATCCTGTTTTGCAACCTGGGCTCCCGCTTGGTTACAGATTTTCCAAATCACCTATCCCTTTGAAGTGTACTCACTCTAATGCCTGAGCCTCCTGCCATCCATGGAGAGCCTGGCACAGTCTATAGTAGAAAACTAGGCAGATGCATAAGTTGCCAGTGCTATTGTCCATCTGTACCTGCTAACCTCTCAGCTGTAGATCACTTCTGCACTGCAGTGACTTGTAAACATTAATTTTTTCCCCCAGCTACCCTTTTTATCTTTGACTCCATATCACGCAGGAGTATTACCTTTAATTCAGATGTTTCCCTTGTCAGAAATATTTTGCTAACCGGCTTTCTCTTGTTTTTACTTTATTCTCAGTGATTTATTAAAATTCACCAATAAGCCTTGTTTCTTTAAACTCTCAACTATTTGTCCATTTACCCCTTCAGATTACAAATACTGTTTCTAAAGCTTGATTCCAAAGACCCATCAACTCTGGGCCTTTTTACATGTTCCTAAGATCCATGCACATAGTAGTCTGTCCTGGAAGATGTTCAGATGGGAAATTTAATATGCTTTGTCTAACTAAGTTGGAGTTTGTTTAGTAAGTATTCCTAGTACTAAAGTGGAAAGTCAAAAAAATCTTAGCAATATAGGAAAGTGTCTTGAAAGTCACAGAATGCCTTTTCCCTCAATTTTTTAGTGTAATGCTATGGTCCTTAAAAAAAAGTCTAGCTCCCATCATTGATGCATCCCTGCTTTTTTTTGTTACTTCAGTCACAGTGTGTTTTTCATCATATTAAAGCAAATCAACCTAGTAAGGAACAGACTGACTTATTTACTGGCTGTAGTTCTAAGCACCAGAAATGGGCAAAGGAGACCAAACAAAGAAATAGGAAAAACGAGGCATTGAAGGGGAGCCAATGTGGGGTTTGGAAGGGATGAAGCTTCCGTGGAGGCAGGATGTGCCTTTCTTGACTGTTTACTCTGAGCTCAGAAATAGAGACGGAAAGAAGGTAGATCACGCTACAGCCTGAAATGGATACAGAACATACCAGGGGGAGCATTGAGTGTAATCAGATGCCGGGTGTAATTATGTAAATGTATGCATAAATGGTTTTCTATGAATAAATCGTCTGGAGCAACCTTAACACTCAAGGTCAAAACAAGTGTAAGGACGTGATATGATATGGCAGCTACAGTGACTTTGCTCAAGTAGCAGCTGAAAATATTTTGCCTTTTTTTGCCTTTATTTTTCCATCACTGCACCTGAATGTACTTTGAACCACTGCTAGAATGAATTTTGGATCTTAAAGACTATTAAGACTTCTACTTCCTTCCATGAAAAGGATACCACCTGGTTCAGGGAGGGGTGGTTTGGGGATGAATATGGCATGGTTGTTTTTAAACTGTTCACCCTGGTGAGGCTGAAAGCTAGTTTTATGTTTATTTTATTTTTAATTAAACTTCAACTGGGATATGTTTTACTAGTATTTGGAGACCTGCTTGAAGGAAAGAAATGCTAAATTTGTTTAGGAGAAAAATGTGCTTTCCTTGTTCTTTATAAAATAATTTGAGAACTTCAAATATATTCCTAAGGGCCTTGGGCCTGACCATCTAATTAGAATGCTAAGATTCATTCAGCATTAGCATGTGGTTTTCTTTTGCATGAACCAACCAAGAGTAAGTCTGCATAGATAAAATCCTGTGGATTATGGGTATAAAATATTTGCTGTAGCAAACTGCTGATTTGAGTGTTCCATGCCCCTGAGCATGGCATAGGGTAGTAAAGCTTTTTTTTTTTTTTTTCTTCTCATGACTCATAAATCTATAAAGTAAACCCACTGTAGTGTTTTCTTTTTATTTCAGGGAATTTGAAACATCACAAGGCTAGGAAGGCATTTAAAATATGTTTTCAGCTTCATAAGAAACTTAAGATAGCTAATAAACATACAGATGAATTCAACCAATGTTCTAAATGCTTATCAGACATTCAGTTTAACGCCAAAAGCTTTGATTAAGCTTCCAGATTGTCCAAATCACCATTATGAGGAAGGCAGATGTAGACAAGATGAGTCACAGCACATGCCCAGTGTTTAGGGGACAGTGAACAAACAGCTCACCATCACTGGGATGTAGAGGTGCAGGGTTGGGGACTCCTGCAAAGGAGAAGAGAATACTGGAAGGGTTGTGCGCACTCAGTCGCAGGGTCTGGCCTTCAGGAGCTTGGCAGTTACTGGGAAAGGCTATGCAGCTGTGGTGCTGGCAGGTCCCCTGCAGCCACAGGCTTCCTCGTGTTTGGCAAGATTGGGCAGTTTCACCAACCCAAGTCAGGAAGCTGATCTTAAAGTTGTGATCCTTAACTTGAGGCTTTATGGATCTTTTTAATTTCATTAACATGGAGCGCCTCTAGACACACCACGTGTACAGTGTGTTCCCCATCTTGGTGACAGGACAGTCTGCCATGCCCTGTGATTACACGATGATGTCTCACCGGAGAGTCCTTGGTGTGCGACAGCTTTCCTGGACACTTTCCTTCTCTGGCTTCTGTTCATCCAAACTTGGAAATTAAACACAATTCAAAATGCCTCTTCATTTCCTCACAGTTATTTATTTTCTAAAAACCGTGTGCATTCTTTCACTGTCTTCTCTTAGGGAAAAAGAAACAGTGGTTTCAGACAGTGCTTCTTCGGAAGCCAGAAGCACTACAAGTTGACGAAGCTTTGTCCGGCAATGGGATACACCTTCAGGCTGGCCGCTCGGAATGACATTGGCACCAGGTATGATGTTGCTGTGTTCTCAGGCTGCTAAATGTCTGTCTGTGATCCTGAGTCTTCCTCTCGCATTTCTTGAAGGCATGAGGGCACCAGCTGCCTCCACACTGAACCAATTTGAGATTTTCAGAGAGGGACTCCTAATCAGAGGGTAGAGATTTTTTCTGAGGTGATGCATGCTACTGTGTGGCCTTTTTACATGCTTGCGAGCTGTAACGCAAAGGTCTCACTAGGGTCTCTGGGAGCCAAGATGAAAATAACAGTACAGATTTTGAGAGGAATCCCTCTTGGGACATTATTTTTTCAGACCACATGCCTTTTTCTTTCATCACTTCAGCAAGCTACACATTCAGCTGCCTTTTTCAATTATGTGTGTTTCCTGAACGGAAAAAAAAAAGTTGCTGGGAAAGCCATTGTTGTCAAACTGACAGGATTCAAGGAAACATGGGCTGTCTAGGACCCCACTGTTTGCCTCCAGGCTGCAGGAGAAAGACAAGAACCTGTCTACTGTGGAGAGTCAGGGGATTGAGGAGCCTTTGAAAAGGCCATGTTTCCATTGCGCTTCCTGGATAACGGTGATTAGGGGAAAGCTTTGTTTCATCACTCTTGTTGAAAATCTTCTTAAAGAACCAGCATGTCATTGGTCCCCAATCTTTTATCCAGCCTAAAGAACCTGTTGACATCACCAGGTTTTGCAGCTCTCCCTCCCCATCCATGATCGCCACTGTATGAAAACACAGAATCCACTCATTGAAAAAGCCATATTGCATCATGTCTGTGTACTGCATCTTCCTAATCCACCACTGTTCCTTGGTTACCTGTTTCCATAACTTGATGATTGTGCTGCAGTGAACATAGGGGAGCATAAATCCTTTCCAATTAGTGTTTTTAAATTCTTTGGATCAGTTCTAAGGAGTGGAATTGCTGGATCATGAGATATACCACGGAGGAGGTAGGAACCCACTCCCAGCGTTGTAAACCAAGGTTACCTCACTAATAAAAAAGGAAAGACCATAATGATAAAGGTCTTATGGTTCCAGGATTAATAAATGAATTAGAGGCACCTATTAACTTTTTAAAAAATAGCATTGTATATAGTTTGTATATCATCAAACATTTATTTCATTAACAGAATTTTTGTGCTCACATTAAGTTGACAGCTCCTTGGAAGCTGGGCTCATGGCTCGGTAAACTCTACACATCATGTTTATGCTGTGCTTTCTGTTGGGTGCTTTTGGGAAAAAGAAGTTATCGATATAAAATTGGATTTTTAGTGGTGAACTTAACAATTAATACAGACATTGGGCCTCCCCGGTGGCGCAGCGGTTGAGCGCTGGGTTGCGAAGCTGCCCGTGACCTCTGCGGCTCCGGTTCGATCCCCGGCTGCTCCCCGGCCACCACAGGAGGGTCCCACATGGCGCGCAGACCTCTCCTGCCGCCCGCTGCTCCCCTCAGCAGTGTACTTCGGTCCTTCTGCCTGCTCTGCTCCCCGCTCTGGCTCTGGTGAATTCTCTCGCCCTCTCGCGCTTCTGACTGTACCCAGTGCATGTATAAAACAAACAAACAAACAAGTAAAATAAAATAAAATAAAAGCATGCCTCTATAAAAATAAAAAAAAAAAATACAGACATTGATTTATAATGATGCACACCTGAACATGTCATGTTATGTGATATTGCTTCAACAAAAGAATTGAAAATAAAGGGCCTCCCTCGGTGGTGCAGCGGTTGAGGGCTGGGTTGTGAAGCTGCCCGCAGCCTCTGTAGCGCCAGTTCAATCCCCGGCCCCCCGGGTAAGGGTCCCACATGGTGCGCAGACCTCTCCTGCCGCCCGCTGCTCCCCTCAGCAGTGTGCTTCAGTCCTTCTGCCTGCTCTGCTCCCCACTCTGGCTGTGGTGAATTCTCTCACCTTCCTGCGCTTCTGACTGTACCCAGTGCTTGTATAAATAAATAAATAAATCTTAAAAAAAAAAAGAATTGAAAATAAATAGATGTATGGTCCTATAGTATGGTATCCTTTTCTAATAGCAGACTGAAAGAGGAAATAGGGCAAACTGAACGTGTTTGTTTGGGGTAAGGGATCACAAAGGATCCTCGCCTGCCTTTGCTTGCCTAGCCTGTCGGCCCTAGACTTTCCAGCCCAAGCCAGTTGGGCAGAAGCCTTATTCTTCCTCCATAAAATGCCAGGACTCCTCACATTCTCCTCAGTGCGTCTCTCACTGGGTTTGTCTTCTCTACAGTGGGTACAGCCAGGAGGTGGTATGGTACACACTAGGAAACATTCCTCAGATGCCCTCTGCACCAAGACTTGTTCGAGCTGGGGTCACATGGATCACACTGCAGTGGAATAAATCAGAAGGCTGTTCACCTGAGGAAGTGGTTACTTATACTTTGGAAATCCAGGAGGATGAAAATGTAAGTCTCACAGATTGTATACCCTTGGCGTGTGTTCTGTATAAATCAGAATTGTTATCAATACATGGCACCGTGAAATTACATTAGCTACATAAATTGAAAACCATACTCTTAATTTCTGCCACTACTTCTACCATCATCAGCAACCTGTCCTTTCTGTAGGCTTTCAGCATAGTCAGTGGCATTCCTTGTTCTTTCAGTTGGGAACACCAGAAACCCTTTGAAATCCTTAACCAATATACAAGCAGTCAGCAAATCCTTTGAAATCTTCCTTCAAAAATTATCCAATAATCTGACTGTTTCTCAGCATCTCCTTAGCTACCCATCTACAAACCACTATCATCTCAGGCCTGATTATTTCAGTGCCTCTGAAGTACTTCCCCTGCCTTCATCCTTACTGCACACAGTGTTCTCCACAGGAAGCCTGAACGATCTTGTTAAACACAAGTACAGGCACGGCTGTGCTTTGTTAAGAACCCTTCCATCCCAGTTCCTCCCCTTTTCTTCAGCATGAAAACCAGAGCTCTCATAACACTATTGCATCCCACACAATGGGGGGTCTACATTACTACCCACCTTTCTGCCACTGTAGTTCTGGAAACTGCTGGTCTTTCCTTAAACACAGCACTTGTGCCCTGATTATAATTTGTGTTGTCTAGTAAGATAGTGCCTAACTACACATGGCTATCAAACACTTGATATGACTTGTGGGCCCAAGGAACTAAATTTTTATTTTTATTTAAATTTAAAGGGCCACATGTGGCTCCTTAATTAACTTGCACAACTGTAGAAAGCAACTTCTCTCTAACTCCACATCTGTCCTCTCACCCAGATTTATTTTTCAGCATAGCGCCTACCACTATATAACAGGCTTTATATTAGGGGTTTTTTTAATCATTTTTTCCAATTGGCATATAAGTTTCTTGTGGGTGAGACTTAATTCCTGGGCAAGGATGAGCCAAGTGTGCAAGAAGACCTGGTGCATAGATGCACCAGTATTTGGTGAATGGATGGATGTATGCTTGGATATTCGAGAATATTATGGAATGAATTCTATACATTCAGCTTTTAGTGGAATATTTATCTTCTTAAATCATTGTCTTCCCCATCCAAACTGTCCTTTCTCCCTTGGTCAGAAGAGGACACTGTGGGGTCAGACACCTCAGACACAGTTTACCGCCCAGCACATTGCAGCCCAACATGATGACCTCAGTACATTTTTTTAGAAGTACATACTGCTTTGTCACGGTACTGCTTGGTGGTTAAATTCTTTGTTTTAAAATGCTTATTGTAACCAGGAAAAGTTTGCTCTGTGAGAAAAACATATGTGGCATCTATTCTAAAGCAAATTTACATTCTCTCAAAGAGAGAGTCTTATTTTCATTCAAATATTTGTAAGCCTCACAATCAACAGCTGACCAGACCCAGGATCTATGACAGTAAAAGAGTTAAATTTTTCCTTAAGGTGAGACCACTCTGCACAGTGCCAATGGCTGCTGATAATTATTCTGCAGTAGCTGCCAGACCTCTGGCCAGTGGTGACAATGGGAAGAGGCAATATAAAAATCCTACATGCCAAAGTACTTAATGCCCAGATTTTATGATACTGATGTTTCTTTCTGGCTTTGCCTTTTCAGGATAACCTTTTCCACCCAAAATACACTGGAGAGGATTTAACCTGTACTGTGAAAAATCTCAAAAGAAGCACACAGTATAAATTCAGGGTGAGTCAGTCATGTTGTTACCTGAACTGCTTAAAAGTGAAGCTATTTTATTGTTCACCCATTTATGGTTTCAGATTGACTCTATGAGTTATGTTATTTTCAAGTTCACAACACTGTACATTTTAAAATAAAATTTGTAAGTTGCACACTATGCTTTCACTTTCAAATCCACTTTGTCCTTGTGTGCTGTAATGAATTGCATGACATGTGGCCAGATGCCCTCACCTGAAGGCCCCAAACCCAGTCCTCCTTCGTCTTTCCCTCACCTGCGCTGCACACCTTTCTCTGAGATTTCTCCTTTTAATAATTTTTCTCTTACTCTCCCTTTTTCTTTCTCTTCTATCCATATTATTTCCTGTTCTCTCTCTCATCCCGTCCCCACTTATGCTGTGCTTTAGTCATTAACAACCACTGTTAGTGTCACTGTAGGACTTTGTGTTGTAGCCAGCTTTGCAGCCACCAATACAGAAGAGCCTGTCAGCTGCGCCATGCACTACCTGTTTCTACCTCAACCTTGTGCATTTTGGGGAAACAAAGGTGTATTCTCATTCCACCCTTCTCTAATTTGGGGGCACCAAGTGGTGTTATTTGGAACATAGTAGTCACTCAAGAAATTATCAACTGGACTGTCTTTGAGGAAAATGATAGTTTTTTGATATGTTTTTAAAACCCTGTTACTTGACTCTGGCTTTTGAAGTATAAGCACATTGCTGGCATTTTCCCATGAGGGGGCATTGCCTTACTCTTAAATAGGTACTTCCCCCTCACACTCTAGTCCCTTCCTCCTTTCACAGAACAGTTTTAACTAGATAGAGACATACTGGTTTGGGGGTTTGGATTTTAAGTCTTGAGAGGGTAAAAATATTTTTAGCTAAAGCCCACCTTGTATTTTTGTTAACAGTCAACTATACTGAAAATAAGTATTCCATAAAAAAACATTTATATATCAGCAGTTTGAGATTGAAAGAGAGAAAATATGCATGTGTGTGTTCCCTTTGTCTGAGTTTATGGATGCCTCGACCTTGCCATGCTGAAAAGCCATCATTCACTCAGAAACTGAAATCTAAAGCTTGTTCATGTTTTCTTGATTGTCTTATAGCTGACCGCTTCTAACATGGAAGGGAAAAGCTGTCCAAGTGAAGTTTTGGTTTGTACGACCAGTCCTGACAGGCCTGGACCTCCTACAAGACCCCTCATTAAAGGACCAGTTACATCTCATGGTTTCAGTGTCAAATGGGGTATGTTTTGCTGCTGTTGCTACTTTTTAGACAGTTTTCTAAGAATTTTAGTAGTGACACAATAAATACTAGTATTATTTCAGGGCATTTTACATGTTTGGAATACACTTGAAAGATAATGTGAAAATTTCATAAATTGGTAAAATGGGCACTTTTAAGAGCCTGTCATTTATTTTAATGACTTTCCCTGTATTACTTTTTTCCTCCAATATTTGTAATGTTCTGTTGAGTTGAATACATAATAATAACCCCTGAATAGATGTTTTTCTTCAATAGTTTTCCCTTAAAAGTTGGCAGTGTTTAGTATAAAAAACTGATTTATAAAATTAATATTGAAAGTAAATTTTAAAATTTCAGTATATCATAATTAAATTTTGACATAACAGAATGCCTTAGTTTTTGTTGTTCTATGTAACCAGAAGTCATGAACTTCAATGATTTTTCATTTTGAAGTTTATCATACGAGGGGTATCTGATACAGGGCACTGTGGCTTGCCTCTGTTCTATGGATCATAAACATTTGTAACTTTATGTAAAACTTTTATAATATATGTAATTATCACTAATAATATAACAACTTTAGAGTCCAAAAATAAGTAGAAATCTAAAATATTATTTTCCCTGGCACCAAGTAATGTAAGGTAATCATGACATTATTTAACCATTATTGGGGACAAATTACTGAAAGATAACTGTTTTAAGTTACCCAGTAATTTTGAGGCAGAATTACTAGGATATCACATTTCCCTGGAAGATGGATATGATTAAGATTAACTGCTTTTGCCAGACTGTCAAGTTTTTGTTTCTGAAAATGCTAGAAAGTTCTGTCAACAGTGAATTTCTACTATCTTTAATTATATGCTATTTCACTCTATAATCGTTGTAAATATCTGTTCCTGAAATATGAAAATGCCAGGTAAGAGGCAAAGGGAAGTGAAATTCCTAAATCTATCAGTAAACTGAGGGTGTCTCTAAAATAGAGAGATGCCTGACTGGTGATAGAAGTAAATTCTTCATAGTCCTGAAATGTATAATGCAAGGTATTTTTCTGCTCAGAGAAGAAACCCCTTGTAGGCAGAGATAGACGTAGGCTAAATATCCAAGTCGCCACAGGGCTGTAGTAATAAGCTGGAACCTCTTCTATCCCTTTGGTGCATTTTCTTATTGATGCACAATTCTGGTTTTTATGTCAGGTTCACTTGGGTTGTAAAGTTTGCTTAGTGACAAACTGTGATGGAACAGATTTATTATACTAATAATTAATTTGTTTATAAATAAAATAAGATTTATTTTGTTAATAAATTTAGTACTTTGCCTTCCCTCACCTGCTTTTAAAAGACTCTGGTCTCTTATAAGTGAAATAAAACAAAAAGTATATATACACGTTTCGTCTTATATAAAAGGCACTAAATGTTAAAGAGCTGGCTTCAGAATGCTGAAAATAAGTTTATTACCATAACTTTTAGAAAAGTCAATCCATATTTTGAGTGTTGCTCGTGTTTCACCAAGTAAATGTTAATTCTCTGACATTCCTAGCCTGAAGAACTTTGAATAATTTGATATTATTCAAGATTTCTTTTGTTTTCCAAGAAAGGGGTTGGAAGAAATAATGCATTAGTTATTGTGCCTTTTGTTTAAGTCCAGAATTAATATAGTATGTGATTTTATGTGTTCTAATTATATTTACCAATAAAAATCAGTACCTGTTTACAACTAATAAGTCATTTGCTTACTCTCCAGATCCTCCAAAGGACAATGGTGGTTCAGAAATACTCAAGTATTTGTTGGAGATTACGGATGGAAATTCTGAAGGTGAAGTTTTTTGAAATTGTTTTACTCAAATCCCCAGTAGCAAGCCCTATTTTCTCGTGTGATAAACACCTTCATAGTAACCATGGGCAATCAATTCTAATAGAATCATAATTCTAATGACAGCTATTACAATTTAAAAACCTTAATTCCATATTAACAGTTTTCCTCTATCAAAAACTGGGATCAAATTCTACTTGAAATGTACATTTTTATCATTTTTATTTTATTTAAACCACTGGTCCTAGTAGGAAATTAAATTAAACTTTTCATCCCCTCTTTGGGCACACTTTATCTGGAAATTGTTATAAGCAGAGAGTGTCAGAAGTAATCAGCAGGAAGGATAAGGTGAGGGATGGAAATAGGTTCTGTAATCTACAAATTCCCTTGTATAGCAATGACAGACAACATATGGCATCACTGTGGGCTAGTGACAAATGTCACCCTTTTGCTACAAGTGTAAAAGAAGTCTATATTTAGATTATCTGTCATTAATAGTCACAATGTGGATTAAAGCAGGACAATGTTAGAAATCTAATTACTGAGATAGGTGGTGGGTAGGGGGGGGTTAAGAAAAATAAATTATTTAGCTATAGTACCTTTTAATAGATCATCCTTCTAATAAAATTCTTTAGGCTAAGAGAAAAAAAACTGTAATCATTAGAACTTTAAAATGACATCTCTCATCTCTCTATAATCACTGTAACCATTAATGCGAAAAAAGGGGTACATGCATATAGCAAAAAAAACCAACAACACATAGGACCTGTTAACAGTGACCGCAGGCCATGCAGGTGTGTGGCTTGCCTTTTATCCTGTGCCACGGTCGCCACCTGGAATGCTTTGTTTTTCCCGTCAATCTGTTCCTGTTTTAAGTTGAAAACGTGAGAATGCTTTGAGGTGGACACAGCTTTTCTTGACATATTGAATGCCAAACGTTGAATTTAGTTTGTTTTATATTAGAAAACCTACCTAGTAGGGAAATCATGTATAAGCAAGGGACTGTTGTTGTCATGACTCTCTTGACCAGTGTTGACAAATGAAACGGAGTTGCCATTCTCTACTAGGTCAGCAACTTTGCTGGTGCGTTACATGGGTCATGAATTGAACCTTTACGGTTGTCCCTGTTTCCAGTTTTGCTAATCAATAATGGGTTTGTCTTTCATATTCCCCTTTCTCACAGGCCCCGGTACATGTGACTTATTTAGTAAGTCCTGTCAAATAGGCATCCAAGAGAATTTGTTGAAGTTTCTTTAGTAAAACATCATGAAATAGGGTGAAAGTGTTTCCTTAAAACAACTTCATGGAGTAAAACACTTCTGTAAAATAGCCAACTAGAAAAAAATGGCCTTAGTGGGAGTAGACAGAGTAGGAAAAGAGTCATCCTGGGGCCCAGCTGTGAGGCAGGCAGCCAGTCAGAGTCACCACAGGTGCTTTTCCCCCAGCGACATTAACTTTGTGGCCACCCACACGTCCCCAATCCCCAGTACCCTGCTTTCTTTATTTTAATCCCCAGAAATGGTGAGATAACTGGGTCACAGTGAGTGTTTCATCTTTAACTTGTCAACCTTCCAGGCATTTCTGTCTTTTTAGAGGGACTCTCTGAAAATAGCAGATCTTTACCCAAAGGACAGACACTGTAATTGGGCTGTTTTATTCTTTGTGACCTCTAGCAGGTCAGCACCCCAAAGTTATCAAAAATCTCATACCTGAGCAGCCTTCTCTCAGCCATACCCAGCTGGCCCGGAGACCATCTCATACCAGAAGCACTTCAGCTCACTTGGCACAGCACTGTCCCCTTTTGCCATTGCCCCCTCCCTATTGCCAACTAGATTTCATATTATTTCTATCATCCAAATCTCATTGTCGGCAGTGTAATAATGGTGATATTAAGTAGTCTAGCCTTACAGCCGCACTAAGTATAAAAAATGACTCCTGTGTTTTTCTGGTATTTAACTTTGTCGAGGAAATGGAAAGAGAGCCCTTTGGCCGTTGCAAAAAAACGGGGGGTGGGGGAGATGTTGGTTTTCATGGAAACCACTTAGAGCTTTTTCTTATCAGTAATGGTTGATACTATTATACTTTCACAAAAGCCATAAACTCATAGACAAGTCTTATTTTACAGCGAGTCAATGGGAAGTGGCATACAGTGGATCGGCCACAGAATATACTTTTACCCACTTGAAACCAGGCACTTTGTACAAACTCCGAGCGTGCTGCATCAGTACTGGTGGACACAGTCAGGTTGGTTGGGTTTTTGTTTTGTTTTGTTTTTTTAATCCCGGTATACAAGTAAACATCTACCTTTGGTTAAATTCAGACAACCTGTCTATAACATCAGCATAAAATTCCGATTAAAAAATGTATCTTGGTGATGCAACACCCCATGGTATCATCTCAAGAAATGAAAACTATATTTAAAAAATTTTGCTTTTGAGTAAATAAAAGATGGACCCAAATGTTTCTCAGCTGAATGTGTTATTTTCAGATACATTGTCACTTAGTTCTTTCTCAGAAGTCTTTCGCATGTTCTTCTGTGACAATTAAAAATTGAGTGTTTTCTGGAACTTTCATTAGCTAAATAAGAAGAACCTCAGTTATTGCAATAACGTGAAAGCATAGAATTTGGAGTTAAAAAGCTAGGACTTCCTACACCTCTGCTGCTACCACCTCTGGCAATTTTGTGAGAGTGGCACACCTTGCTCAAGGTGCTCTACTGCCATCTGCTGGGGAATTGTTGTAAAAGCTGTATAAACCTGTGGTGGCCACGCTGAATGCCACCTGCTGTGACGCAGTCAGCTTACATATCTGTAAGCAGCAGCTCTTCCCTTTTTTCTTCTATTTGTATAACTTAGACCAACCAATTAACATGTAAGGATATTTGCTTTTAACCACACAGTGTTCTCAGAAGCTCAAATAACCTAATGAATACACAAGAAGTACTCTAGGTATGAAATAGTTATCTAAATGGCTTTAACAATCAGAAAGTGGGTGAGAGGCATGGTGGTAGCAGACATTTTCAGTGTAGGGATGTCTAATATTATAATGTGAAGCCATTAGAGTTAGGAGGGAGAGATGCTGGCTTGCAGCCATGTGCTTGGGTTGACTTTTCAACATACTACTACATGCCATTAGATTGCCTAATTTTGCATTCAGCCCACCTCCAGCATCATCCTCAGCTTGCTTTTCCACCGGAGGATATAGTAATGGCATGTCTAGATTGCTCATAAAATGAGTCCTTATGACAAAAAGGTTCAGTCAGTCTGTTCTTAGGAGGCAGTGCTGGAACTCTCTGGAGTGCCTCCCAGGGTGAGGTATATCCACATCAAAGGCACAGATTATCTGCAATTCCTCTTACAGGCAAGAGAGCACAGAGGTGGTATAGGGCACAGTGTGAATGTGTAGAACACATCTCTGCACCACTTCTCAGGAAGAAGATGGAGTTTGATTGAGCTACATAGCTCTACCTTGTTTTCTTCTGTCTGAACAAGGGGTCAACTTCCACAACCTTAACCAACCAGATTCTGCAAAAAGAAGGTGTATTTATTTTAGCATTAGCAGAACCTGCTGGTTAATGTCAGACTCAGTTGATTAATACTGACTTAATTTGCTTTTCTGCTCTGTATGTGGATGGTTGGCTATTTATGGCACCGTTTAAAAATTTCATCCAGCTGTTGTTCTGTGTTCTCTTCTGTCCTTATGAAGGGTCTTTCCAATTTTGGTTTAAAGAAAAATAATTGAGTACATAGGACCTACAACACACAGCTACAAACCTGACTAGAAATAATCATTTTTACCAGTGTCATGTGCAATTTATGTCCACACTAAAAACACATGCACAAGATCTTATTGCATTAAAAAAAGAAAAACAAAACATACATATTCAATGTGCAACCTTCCCACCTCCCCTTGGTAGCATTTACAGTTATGAGTGAAATTTGCCTGTTTATAAATTCAAGGTAACTAAGAGATGATTCTCTCTGGTGTTTCTCCTGCAGTGTTCTGAAAGTCTCCCTGTTCGCACACTAAGCATTGCACCAGGTCAGTGTCGACCACCGAGGGTTTTGGGTAGACCAAAGCACAAAGAAGTCCACTTAGAGTGGGGTGAGTGAACAAATCTTCACATTAACATTGACAGCTTGGACGGTTGTAGATTGAGTTTAAGACTTAATACTTTATAATTAAGTTTCAAGTCTTCCTTCTGAAGATCATGGTTTTTTTGTTTTTTTGTTTTTTGTTTTCAGTTGAAAATGTCCATATTCCCTTTAATGTTTGTTGGCTTGAGATTGTGTTCTCCCCAACTGTCGCTCTTCCCACTGCTCCTTCTGATGCTGCCCACATTTTTCTTCCTCTACCCTTTGGAGGACACTATTCTAGAGAATGGTTTAGAGCAGACAGTCTTTTTAAGAAAATTTCAACTTTATCCATAAAAGAAAAGTTGTGTTCAGTTTAGAGTTCAAACCGAAAAGTGATTCATCAGGTAACATCAAAGTCCTCCTTGTCTTTGCTGCTTTGTTATATGTGGGTCCTGGTGTTTTACAGAATGATTCGAGCTGTGTCAGCCTTTCTGTCGCATCAGCAGTTTGCAGCATGTGCAGTTGCAACTGTAAACCTACGGAACACTCTCACTATACCCCCATGTCTAAAATAAAATATTAAGTCAGCTTTGGATCCTCTATCTTGATTTCACATGTCCTTTGGTTTTAAATTAAAGAGATTTTCTTCCTTCTGCTTCTTCCTTTTCTAGTCTTTGAATGTGAAGAAATTTGCCTGATGGTCCTACTCTAATTATTTTATTAATGTGATTAGATGTACTTGCTTAGGAGTATATGAATAACATCATTTAGAAGCTTTTTCTTTTATATCTTTTTGGGGGTGGGGAGAATCCTTTAGTATGAGACACACTGAGGACAGGCCATATGCAAGATGTTTTTGGAGACTTTGTGGGGAATCTGGTCTGAGATGGTCAACTGGAAGCAAAAATAATCCTAAAATAAAAAGCATTCTTCATTCCCAGATGTCCCTGCCTCTGAAAGTGGCTGTGAGGTCTCAGAGTACAGTGTAGAGATGACGGAGCCTGAGGCTGTCGCTTCAGAGGTGTACCACGGACCAGACCTGGAGTGCACCGTTGGCAACCTACTTCCCGGAACTGTGTATCGCTTCCGGGTGAGGGCTCTGAATGATGGAGGGGTGAGTAAAAGGTTACATGCATCGTGATCAAAATAGAAGGTGCTAGCACTTTTCCATTTACCTTCCTGAAATTCCTCAGCACTATCTGTTGAACCTTGGTAACCATTAAAGGAGTGTATATAAAATCATCTTTCTGACTTGGATTTTGTAATTTCATATAGACCCAGCATTGGAAATTCCTTTCTTTTGTCCTCATGTCGGTCTTTTGAGTTCAAGGTTAATAAGAACATCATACTTTATATACTTTTGGTGATTTAAAAAATAATGTCCTGTTTTCTCATTGACTATATTAATCAGTTTGAGAAAGTAGACCTACATAATCTTCCTGTACCATCATCTGAATTATCAAGCCATGTCTCAGCTTGTTTGTTTTCATTTCATTTCAAGTGAAGATTGTAGAACTCTCTAGCCTTTCCTGCCACTGCTCCATTGCAGTTGTCCAAGTGGGGTGTCAGAGATTGAAACTATATATTTCTATAGTATATCCCAGAGGTATTTATTCTTCATTTTTAGTTTTTTGCAGTTGCAGAGAGGTTTGGGAGAGATTCATAATAAGAACTAGGTGATCCACAAACTGGTAGGACTTTCTTTAGTCTGTTTTAAGTTAACCACAGCTGTCCTTGAAAACACTTGGTCTGAAGTTGGATCTCAAATCTTTAACAGGAGTTGGATTTTTTCTAACGGGAGTTGGATTCCCATTAGGAATGTATTACAGACACAATGCCGATATTTAAATTTTAAAAAAACATGGCACTGAGCAATAAAACTGAATTGCAGAGAAGATAAATAAGCCGGTGTTTTGTAACTTATATAAGTAAAAAGAGAATAGTCAGTCATGATCACAGATGCTGTGGGAACTTTATTTTGCTAGTTTTGCCCTATTCCCCAGCATTTTAAGGGATCTCTGTCATAGTTGATAAATCCAACTAGACTGATGGGAAATTTACTTTGTCTCCTCTTTAATTTATCATATAAAAGAAGGGTTTCAACCTTGTTTTATTTCTGTTATATTGGAAGTTAGCTATATATATTTGACTTGTAAACACCCCCTTCTGAGGTCCATTTCTTAGAGAGTTTCCCTCCCACTCCATAGACCTACCCCAGCGTCTTTGTAAGTTTATGTTGAAAATTGTGAGAGGTGTGGGTTTTATTGTTGTTATGTTTTCTCTTCTTCCTATTTTGAAAAGCATAGTTACACACTACATCAGCCTGGAAATTATATTATTTGACTCTTTGCCCCATTCTTTGAAGTATCACATGTTTTGCTATTTGAATAGGTGGTTATGGCTCTCTCAAAACGTTTTAAGTATCTAGTGATAGTTGGTGCTGAGTCATGTGGTCACTGATGCTAATATGAAGAGGAATGCAGTGTAGACCTTTATGTAGTTGACATGGTAGGGATATTCTGAGAAAACACTAACAGGAACATTTGTTTTCAAAATGGAAAATGCCAGTAACTAAAAGAAATGTTCAGAATGTGATAACCAACAATTCCAAGTAGATTTCATGCATTAAAAATTAACCAGTATGCATCTGACTTGCTTTTCTTTAATGTCCTCTGAGAAATACTGAAGTAGCATGCCATGGGGTGTCAACAACCAGCATGTCTATGTTTCTGATGTGACAGTAAGATAAAAATGTTTGGCAAAATAATCTTCTCATCCTTTGAATGAAGGAAAATAATCATATATATAATAGACATTTACTACTCAGGGAATGTATGTAGGAGAAAACTTTATACACATTCAGTTGAAAGTGAAAATTATTAGATAGTATTTTTTAATCAATTATACTGATGATAGTGTTAACCTGGGCTTTATTTGGTTATAGGTGTCTGTGTACACACGTAAGTACATACAAATTGGCATGTGCTCTTCTCTTGTAGTATGGTCCTTATTCTGATGTCTCAGAAATTACCACTGCTGCAGGGCCCCCTGGACAATGCAGAGCCCCTTGTATCTCTTTTACACCTGATGGATGTGTCCTAGTGAGTTGGGAGGTAAGTCAAGCACATGTCCTACATCAAATTTCTGTCTCTTTTACTTTCCCTACACCCTTGCAACTTATGGGGAACTCAAAAAGCCAAAATTCTCATGTAGGTGGTTTTTACACATCAGTCTTCTTTGGTTTTTGCTTCTGCCATTTAGAGTTGTGAAAATTTACCATGGCCAGATATTGAGTTTCTGTTTCATGCCTTTCTTTCATATGTGCTTGAAATATCCTGGGGCATATTGCCCTGTTTCCCAGTTTAGTCCATTGAATGCAAACCTCATAGAATTTTCTTATTAATTAAATTATTCACAAACATGAAATTCTGCTTTCCAGAGTCCTGAGAGCTCTGGTGCTGATATCTCAGAGTACAGATTGGAATGGGGAGAAGATGAAGAATCCTTAGAACTCATTTACCATGGGACAGATGCTGGCTTCGAAATTAGGGATCTGTTGCCTGCTGCACAGTATTGCTGTAGACTACAGGTAGGTTAACGTTATTCAGATGTTGCTCTGAAAAGGATGGTAAAGGAAACTTTTATTTAAAAAAAATAAATTTAATTAAATTTATTTGGTATGAAAAATTGTTTTGGTATTTTACAATAAATGTCTGAAACATAAGAACAAAACTAGATTTTTCTCCACTCTACTTTGCACCACCTTTGTTGTCTTGATTGTTAATTCACTGAGTAAATGACCAAGTCCAAGGCAAAAGTGGCAGAGCTCCTTATAGAAAATGCCTGCCGTGTGTGTGCTTCTGAAAGCGCATTTCAGTGGAAAGCCACAAAACTGGCATGACAGAAAATTCATATGCCAGTTGTTAAATGAAGTCAAAAACAAATATTACACTAATTTGGACTAGTCTGCATTCAATTTAGAGAAACCACCTCCTACTTCCCTGAGAACATTGACAAGGCTGGTTGTGTGTAAGTTTCTACTTGGGAGTCCAAATAAAATAACATTAAGAAGAAATGGCTCATAATATAGTCCCTAAGAGTGACAGTAGTCATGGGTTTATCTTTCCTTTATTCATTTGAATAATGAGGTTCCCCCTTTTTAAAGCTTTATTATCCTAAGAAAACAGTTCTTTGCCCATTCTTTCCATTGTTTAGTATCATTTTTTAAGCATTACTTTGTGCCAGAATCAAAGGATGATTAGATTGACAAAGGGAAGAGATGCAAAGATAAATCAGATGTAATCCTTGACCTTGAAGAATGTCATCTTGGGCCTCCCCTGGTGACGCAGTGGTTGAGGGCTGGGCTGTGAAGCTGCTCTCAGCCTCTACAGCTCTGGTTCGATCCCTGGCTGCTGGCAAGGGTCCCACATGGTGCGGCAGACCTCTCCTGCCGCACCTGCTGCTCCCCTCAGCAGTGTATTTTGTCAGTCTGCCTGTTATGTTCCCTGCTCTGGCTCTGGTGAATTCTCTCACTCTCCTGTGCTTCTGACTGTACCCAGTGCGTGTATAAATAAATAAATAAATCTTTAAAAAAAAAAAAAAAAGAATGTCATCTTCACACAGTTAAATTTAAATGAAGACGCAGAGATGCAGGATTGAGGTTTCCACCTGATTTAAGTCATGGATCAAATTGCTTATCACAAGTTTGTTGACACTCAATGTCTCTGGCCTATTTGGAGAAAATATTCCCTGGATAATTTAGTTTTCCCAAACATTTTCTATTAAATTCTGAAGACTGCTTTAATATAAACATTTATGATTAAACTCTTACATGCACCTTCTTCCTTCTTGAATGGAGCACCTGGGACATAATTAACCCTTTGTCAGTGAGTCAGGGTCACACCACACTACCTGATCTTTATAATAGTGATGCTGAGTCATTGGCAAAAGGTTAAATTATCCACTACCCTCCTGTTTTTGGAACAAGACAGGATATAAATAAAGAACTGTCTGCCACCACAGGAAGGAACTTCACTGTTTTGAGTTTTGGTCTCTCTTTACAGTGTTGTTCTACTACCTTTTTCCTTTGAGGGTAAATATTGTCACTTCCCAAAACTGCAATTTAAAAGATATATTGGTAAGAATAGAGCCTACGTAATAATAATGCCTGCCTTCTGTTTTGATAGTAGAGAAAATATTTTTATATGTCTCTTGTCACAAAATTACCCAGACCCTATGAAGGAGATAGTACTTTTAAGACCACAGTTTCTGTGCTAAAGAAATACTGCCAGGAAAAGCATGTCCTCAACCTCTATTAATTTCTTGGTATCTGTGGATCAAATGTGAATTATTTTTATTTGACATCACTACAAAGTCATATTAAACCCTTAAAATTCTTTTGAGTATTAGTACCTTAAAAATCAAACCACTGTCACTGTTACTGAGCAGGAGCAGTATGCATAGAGGCTGACATACCATGACACCAGATTTTGAGAAAAGAACATTTTGCGAATCCATTGGCAAGGAGACAGGAGATAAACTCAAATCTGCCTCCCTGGTTAAGAAAGGAAACGAGATTATGTAGGCTTTGGGGACTGAGGATCAGAACAAAGGATTTAAATTTTATTGGCTGAAAGCAAGCCTGGGCAAAGAAATGTGGACTTGGCTGATGTCCATGGACTAGTTACAGGTCAGTTCATACATGGATAAACATGAAGAGGCTATTTTTTAGATAACTGGAATTTTTCAGAAAACGAGTTTTGCATTTCTGCTTGTGGGCTGCTAGCCTCTGGGTAGTGCTGCAGCCCTCCAACCACCACCTCTGACCCTTGCTTGCAATTGCATTTTCCTGACTCTGGCTGGTCTTGGAGCTCTGCTCAAGGTTAGTGTTTTATTTGCTAAGACTGGGTCATCTGCAAATACAGAGTTTGTAAATACAAACCTCAAAGAGAAAGTTAAATAATGTTTTTTTATCTTTTGTGCTCTAGGGTCCAAAAGCAATTTAGTCATTTGACCTTGGTTTTAATATACCTATATACTGTGTTTTCATGAAAATTTCTTATATATATATATATATATATATACACACACACAAATATTTCTTATAATATATACTGTATATACACTTGTTTTTATATAAAAAAACAAACATTTCTTATTTGTGTCAGAAATTTTTTTGATTTTTCTATTGTCCTTAGGAATATTTTAATTAGTAAATACCAAAGCAATCTAGTCACATGAGACATATATTACAACCATACTATTATTTAGTTAAATAGATGCTTTTAAATTGTTTCCTTTGATTAAGAGGAAGTGGTATAAATCAAGAAAGCCTTTTCCATTGAACAAAAAGTGAAAAACAGTGGGAACTTGGAAAAATAAAATGTGAAAAATTAAGAGTCAAATCAGGTCTGTATTGTACCAGTGTTAGTTTCCTGGTTTTGATCATTCTGTACCTACAGAAAGTGTTAATATATAAGGTGTTCGGAAAAGCAAGGTAAGATATATATTTAAATGTTTTTGTGCAGTTTTTGTACCTTCTCTATAAATCTCAATTTCTAAATAAAAAGGGTTTTTTGTTTTTTTAAGTTGTAAAAGTGCTGTTTTGTTCTCGATTTTCCCAGGGGGAAAGAGAACACTGTTGGCCTGATACTTTATGAAGGCTTTTCCTGTTAACCAATTTAATCTGTAGAATAATTCCATGAATTAGATGTTACTATTCTCACTTTACATCTAAGGAAACAAACTCAGAATATTAATTTGTCTAAGATCACACTATTTGTAGATAATGAAGTCAAGGTTTGGACTAAATTCCAATGCTTAAAAACCATGTTCTTTTCCTTCTGTCACATGGTAATCTAAAGCCTTAGTTGATATAAACGTTAGTCTCCATGATATTTTTCTGCCCTTATGATGAATTTGTATCCAAAAATAAAATCTCTAAATACATGTCCTTAAAATAGTTTGACATTAAAATTTTACCAGAGTTGAGATGTTGTCATGAAATAGCATTAGATATGGCAAAATATTAGAGTTTCAACAGTAATTTGATAGCAAATGCCTTTTAATTTGCTTCTTTGAAATAGTAATGTACGGAAATTAAAATTTTCTTGAACTTTTGATTTAAGAGCTCAAACTACTTTCCTTTAGTTTTGTAATGGTCTGAATAAACTCTCCTATGAAGTAAATAAGAAATGGGTTTTAGAGTACATTCATTTTTATAGTACATTCATTTTACATTCATTTTATATTTTCTATTTGTGAGAAAAACAAGTTGCAGAACCCTGGGGTGGGACCAAACTTGGTGTCCTTGTGGAAGAGCAAGGAAGCCAGTATGGGGCAGACACACTGTGGGGGGAGCATAGTAAATGATGGAGGCACCTGGTGATGAATCCTTTGGGAGGCTGGTGGTGGTGGTTAGCAGATTGGGGAAGTCTTATAGCTGATGTGAGGACTTCAGAGTTTATTCTAAATAGGGTAGGAGGCTATTGATGGAATTTGAACAGTATTACTCTGCTTGCTTGGAAGAAAGACTATAGAACAAGGGTGTCCACTGTTTCCAGTTAGGAGATCGTCAGAGTAACCAGACAGAGCATGTACTTACGCTAGGATGATTCAGGCTATGCTGAGTGCCTAGTGGGGGTATGAGAGGAAGAAACATGTCCAGCGATGACTCAGAGATATGAACTGAAGAGCCTGGAGGGTAGGGAAACTATTTGAGGTACCATACGATTTTATGGGGAGAAGATGAGAAGCTCTCTGGACAGTTGAGTTTGAGGTGCCAATTTGACATTCAGGTGGAGCTAGTCAGAAGGCAGTTGGATACACTAGACTGGCATTTAAGGTAGAGGTCTGAGTTACACTAATGAATTTGGGAGTAAGATTTGAATGGCCTTTTTCCCTTTTAGATAAGAGGAGATTTCTGAGAGTTTGAACAGAGATAGAAAAGAAGAAGGTGTCTAAAACCTGAACCTGGTGCCCTCCAGTGTTGATAGATTTCAGGAATGAGTAGCAAAGGTGATTGAGAAGCAGCAGCAAATAAGTAGAAACAAGAATATGGGTTCCAAAACCAAGTAAGCATTTGAAAGCTAAGAATCCATTAAATGCATAAGAAAACATAGCCAAAACACTACGTGATGTTGGTTTCCAGGCTGTCTTTGAGGATTCAACTCCAGCAAAGATAAAGAAATAGAATTATATAAAACTAAAATACTTCCACACAGTGAAAGAAACGTATCATTAAAACAGACATCCCACTGAATGGGAGAAAATATTTGCACAGCGTATATCTAACAAGGGGCTTATATCCAAGATCTGCAAAGAATTCATACAATTCAATAAAAAGAGAACAGAAAACCCAATCAAAAGTGGACAGAGGAGCTAAATAGACATTTCACCAAAGAATACCTACAGAGGGCCAACAGGCATGTGGAAAATGTTCATCATCAATGAGCATCAGGAAAATGTAAATAAAAACCATAATGAGATACCCCTTCACTCCTGTGAGAATGGCCCATATCAAAAAAATGTAAATAACAAATATTGGCAACAGTGTAAAGGAAAAGAAAGCCTCGTACACTGGTACTATAGGTTGGCCCAGCCCCTATGGAAAACAGTATGAAGGTTTCTCAAAATAGCAAAAATAGATACAACATATGGTCCAACAGTTTCACTCCTAGGCATTTATCCAAAGAATGCAAAAACACAATTTGATATATGCACTCCTATGTTTTTTGCAGCACTATTTACAGTAGCCAAGATATGGTAACAACCTAAGTGTCCAAAGATAGGGCTGGATAAGAGGATGTGGGGGGGATATACTTAATGGGAAACTACTCAGCTTTATAGGAAAAAATGAACCCCTGCCATGAAATTGGATAGGATTATGCTGAGTGAAATAAGTCAGAAGGAGAAAAACAAATGAGATAATTGCATTTATATGTGGTACAAAGAGAAACAAAACAATTATTGACAGAACTAAACCAAAGTCTAGAAACAACTGCAGAATTGAGGCTACTAGAGGGGGAATGTGAGCGTGGAAAGAAAGTGACAAGGGGCGGGGGGGCAATGGTATGTGACAAAGGGGTAGATGGGAAGTGGTGATGCACATCTGAGAAGGTGTGAACCTGTTCCCCTGAATCATGCACAGTGATGTAAGCCAAGGTTACCTCAAATAAAAATAGAAACTCACAAGAAAAAAAAAAGTAACTGATCAAGGTGCCAGCTCTTTCTTTGAGGTAAAGTCAGATGAAGGCTGAGGATTAACTTCAGATATGAGTTTATCATTGACATAGGAAATAATAGAAATCTTTGAAAAAGAAATCTAGCTCTTTCAGGGCAGCACTAGAATTAACACTCAGATTATTGAGTTCCAGTCCCAACTTTTTCTCTAAACCTGGAATTCTGAGTTATTTGATCTAACTTTACATTACCTCCTCTGTGAAAGGCAGATAAGAATACTTGCCAGTTAATTTCTACCTCAGCTAATTATTTTGAAGATCACATCAAACAATATGTAAACTGAAGTGGGTTGTACAAATATGACTTGTTACATTAAAAATTATTTTTCAGGGCCTCCCCTGGTGGCGCAGTGGTTGAGTGCTGGGCTGTGAAGCTGCCCGTAGCCTCTGCAGTGCCAGTTCAATCCCTGGCCACCAGCGAGGGTCCCACAAAAAAAAAAAAAAAAAAATTATTTTTCATAAGAGGTAATGATGGTGATGTTATTTTTTCTTTATTCACAGAAAAGATGTGATTGGCATTTTTTGGAAAGTAGTCATTAGATTTAAGTGAACATATTTAGGGTTTATTTCTCTCTGCGTTTCTAGAAGTAAATTGTGCATAACTTTACAGTTTTTGAATGACAACTAACCTGGAGACATTAGAATGTGCTAATGGTATAATGTGGATTTGTCTCCCTGTTCTGCTTTTTAGGCCATCAATCAAGCTGGCGCAGGACCGTACAGTGAGCTTGTTCTTTGCCAGACACCAGCATCTGCCCCTGACCCTGTCTCCACTCTCTGTGTCCAGGAAGAGGAGACCCTCAATGCCTATCCCGATTCACCTTTTGTGTGCCTTGTACTGAACTGGGAAGAGCCGTGCAATAATGGATCTGAAATCCTTGCTTACAATATTGATACTGGAGACACTAGCATCACTGTGGGCAATACCACCTCCCACATTATCAAAGATCTCCTTCCAGAAACCACCTACCGGTGAGTGCAGGAATGTAGAAATAAGTCAGCATTGACATGTTAGCACTTGGGACTACAGGTTCATTGGGTTCTAAGTGCCAAATGGTGACCTCTAGCCATTCTTAATATATTTAAGAGTACTGAATGCAGCTGTAGTTTAAGAGCTTGTAATGCTTTGTACTTTAGGAGTTGTAAGTGTATATATAATCCCTAACCCCTGAGGGCAGAGTTTCACCTACCACTCCAAGTCAGTTTTTCTCTCTCGATCTCTTGAACACTTATCTTTGCATTTTTCTCTATGATTCATATGTGGACTTTCTGTCCTCACCATGTACTCGCCCACCTCTGAAGTAGAGCTCCATCATTCTCATTCATTTTTCTGATTCCCCAAAGGCAAACACAGCATTCCAAGGCATGTATGATTTAGCTTTTCCTCAGGACTTCACAAGAGGCCAGAGAAAAGTAGTTACCATTAAGCAAAACTCAGTTAGTGTCTTACGCATTCGCTCTTTGCACCAGAGCTCTTCTCAAGGAGGCCAACCAGCTCACCTTCCTCTTGTCACACAAAGACATCTCCCTTTGTCATACTAGATGGTGTCTCAGAGAGATGATATATTTCATGGATTCAGATTCGGGTCATCAGTTGTGTCTTTAGAGAAGTTATTTGTGTCTATTTCTTCCATAAAATGGGAACAAAATTACCTAACCTCTTAAACATGTTGTACGTAGTAAATAAATGAATGTTAAATGCCTGTATAGAGCCCAGCAGGACATGGCATATGCACAATTAACATGAAGTATAATTTTCATCATCAAGATCATCAGTAAAACTGGCTCTCCCTGGCCGGCCAGGGATCAAACCCACACTACAGAAGCTGCGAACAACTTTACAGTGCTGCGCTCAATCCGCTGCACCACCAGGGAGGCTGCCTCTTTCATTCTTTTAACAAATCTCTTGGGCACAGTACTGTGTACTCTGAAACTTGTGAGACAGTGATAACACTGTCATTGTCCTCAGATCACTCACACATTTGGGGGAAACTTAAGTACAACCTGAGGTAGTAGGTAATTGTGACACCACAGGCTGAAAATAGCTGCGTGTGAAAAGTCCTATTGGTGTTTAGTGTTTTGGAAAAGACCACCCTAGGGTTTAAAATGGTCAGGATGGTTCAGTGGGTCTTGAGGTGGAAACTGAATAAAGGGAGATATGGATGAGGGGCAAGTCAAGGGCATTGTTTGATCCTTAGCCAATCTCAGAAAACAAGTCTTCACATTGCTAGCCAAATACTAAGTACCTGTAATGCCCAGAGCTCTAATCAGGTGCTTAAGAAATAGGTGAATATCCAGACCACGACCTCAGAGCATTCCCTCAGTGATGGTGTTCTGAGGAAACCTGACTGTGAGGTACATAGAGGGGGAAATGAGCAAGTGAATGAGATACCCCAGCTCTTTCTACAAGATCAGATGTTCAAATATTGTGTAACCCTGATTGCTCAGGCCAGAAAACCTGGAAGAAACCACACTGGTTCAGGGACTCACTGTCAGGTTTTGTGTCTGCTCTTATCCACATCCATGTCTACTGTGGGCTGGACTCATCCTCAGGTCAGATTAACCTCAGTACCTCAAATCAAATCCTCTGAGCCTTCAGGTCACATTTTTAATAGGCTTTTGGGACATGGTTAACCCAAGAATTTAGCTTCTTCCATAGATGTGGCTTAAATAATTATAAAGATTTAACATTGAGGGCCTCCCTGGTGACGCAAGGGGTTAAGCACCGCACTATGAAGCAATCCGCAGCCTCTGCAGCATGAGTTCATTCCCAGCCGGCCAGGGAGCAACCACATGGCAAGGCGGACCTCTCCTGTCTCACCCGCTGCTCCCCTCAGCAGTGTATTTCAGTCAGTCTGCCTGTTTCCCACTCTCTGGTGAATCCTCTCACCCCCCTGCATCTCTGGCCTGTACCCCAGCTCTTGTATGCATAAATAAATAAATCTTAAAAAATTTAACATTGAAGGATAATATTGGAGGGTTTTGACTTTCATGAGTCAACATACAGTCAAATAACTTTTGGAAATAAATCTAGAAATCAAGGACTCAGAAGAAATGAAGAAATAGATGTAGGAGAATAATGATAAGAAAATTATGAAAAATATCTTCCACATAGGTGGTTAATTTAGGGACATGTTAAAAAAGTACCTCAAAATAACGCTGTTCTGAAGAAAATGATTTAGTAATATAGGAACTATGGAAGAAGGAGCTAGATTTGGACAGTAAAACCTCAAGACTCATTTTTAAAATAATTGAATGGATATGGCATTAATATTTCAACTCAATATTGACATGAAAGGATAGTATATTTGCCTTAAGGAGGAAATCCACAATGAGAGGCTGTCAGCCTTACAGGTTAAGCTGGAGGATAACATTTTAAACATTTTAGACATTTTGCATTAGAAATTTACTGTTTTAGAAAATGTGGATCTTTGTACTCATTTTGTACAGTATATGGGGACAGGTATGGGAGAGACAAACAAGATTTAGCCTAAGTCTTTCCTAGCCAATCTATTAATTGAATGCTTCATATTTAAGATATTGAGATTAATATTCATATTTAAGATCATTCTTTACGCAAGTTAAGGAATTTAATTTCTGTAGTACATAATAGGATACTCTGTAGTAGAACTCTGGTCAATCCACAGTCTTGTTCTTCTATGTATCAAAAATACAATTGCAATAATTATGGTGAAATACAAAATAAGTATTTCCAGGAAATAAGGTTGTAATTTTGGTCCAATCAACTTTTACCTCACCTTTTTCTGCCCCATAAATTGGTTTAAAATATAAGTGAACAGATCATGATGTTCTAGATAAAAATGTGGAATGAAACATTTTAAGCAAGCCATGGACTTGGATAAAGGACTTAGTTCTTTTGTGTAATTTTTTTTTTTTTTTAACCTTCAGCAGTTACACATTGTTCTCACACTGTGTATATCATTCCTGTCTTGCTGGGACAGAATTGTGTACCTCTGAAGCAAAAATACTGGCGTGAAAATGGTTGTTTTTAATGGATCTCATCACTTCTTCACTGATGCTTGTAAAACAACCTGTTGGCATACTGACACCCTCTGTGGAATTCGTTTGGAATTACAGTGCTATTTTAAAAGTTCTTACTTTTAAGCTTAGAAATGAGATTCTGTTTGAGGAGTAACAAAACTGTATTGAAAACAGAGGGGTAGCTTTCCTTGCATGCTGTCAGCTGCACAGAATCACGGACTTTGCAGGCTGAGAGAGTCGAGAAGGTCTGGTGGCACCCTCCCTAGTGTTCTGGCTTGAGCATCTCTGGCAACAGGAGCAGTGATTCTAACAACTACTTGCCAGTGGATTCCACTTGTGTTTCCTATGTATTTTATCAAAGCCCTCTATATCTAAAAATCTTATCACTTGATCCTGGGCCTTCTCTACAGCAGTGGTTCTCAAAGTATGATTTCTATACCAGCAGCATTAGCATCACCTAGAAACTTGTAAAAATACAAATTATTAGGCCGTACTCCTGGGGTACTGCATTGGAAACTAGGGGGTGGGGCCCTGCTGTCTCCTTTAATTAGCACTGCAGGAGATTTTGATGCTTGTTAAAGTTTGAGAACTTGCACCCTAGAGCAGTGGTTCATGAATGGTGATGTATCTGTGAATCACCTGGAGAGCTTTTGCAAAATACAGACATCTGAGTGCCACTTCCGTAGACTGTAGGGTCTCAGAGGAGGCTAAGATACCATTATCTATGATGTCAGTCATCTCTTACTTAACCATTCTCACTTCATTCAAATCTGTCTTCACTGGCAGGATTTTCTATAACCTCCTCCATCCTCTTCACTAGAGGGTGAGTTCTGTTTCTTGGTGGCCTCTGTAGTGAGGAGTGCCCCGACCTCCAGGAATGGTGTGACCAGCTGGCTGGTGCAGACCAAGACTGTCCCCTTCCTTTTCCTCCATATTGGTAGCTGGTACAGTTGCCTAAGAGCACTTTTTTTGGCAACCTCATTATGTGTCTGACTCATCCTGAGCTGGCAAACAACTAAAATTTAGGATAGATTTGTTTGTTATGCTCATTTATGTTCTTTTTGCTAGGTAAAACAGGGATGAAAATAATATTCATTGAGTCCTTATTATATGTCAAGCACTACATTAGCCTGTCCAGCATGAGTCATCAATCATTTCTTCCTAACAAGATGAGGTGGGCTTTATTAGGATACAAGTTCTCAGTAGCCAAGTGGCGTCAGACAGCTTTTGACTTCAGTCCTCCCATTTATTGTCTCTGTGACCTCAGGCAAGTTTAACCTCTCAATACCTCAGCTTCCTGATCTGTGAAACAGGGATAATAACTTTAGCTACCTGATAGGCTTTTGAGTGCTTTAGATAAGATTTTAGTATGAGACCTGACACAATAGCATGCGTAATTTAGCTGTTGTTAATGTTTGGTAGGGAAGAAATGAGCCTGAAAAGTTGGCTATGACCCTACTACCAAATTATATTTAGTGATGTCTGTGGAAATCTGGCATTATCCTTTAAAACAATGGCAGATATCTAAGCATGTTTTTCCCTGCCATGGCAGTGCATGAAAAAGTAAGTCCAAAGTCCTGGAGCAAAGAGTGATGGCACTGGTTTCTCCACAACATGGTTTCTCCACTGGTTTCTCTCATCGACATGTTTCCAGTTTTATTTTTTTTTTTTATATGTAAGCCATTCTCATGTCTCAGAGGGGTGAGATGATATCTCATTGTCATTTTGATTTACATTTCTCATTTATTAACTGATATTGAACATTTTTTCATGCATCTTTTGGACAGATAAATGTTTTCTATTAGAAGTGGCTGTTTAGCTCTTTTGTCCATTTTTTGATTGAGTTGTTTGGTTTTGGTATTGCTGAGTTGTATGAGTTCTTTATATATTTTGGAAATTAACCACTTGTTGGAGGTGTGATATGCAAATGTCTTCTCCCAGTCTATAGATTGTCTTTTTGTTTTTCTGGT